CCAACACATCAGGGATTTCTTTCAAAAAGATAGCAGAAGTTTGTGATTGGGATAATGTGAAACAAAAGTGTTAATTTATGGTGCAATGTGAGAAATCTAGTAATAGAGAGGACAAAGTAAAAAAAAAANCGGTGGCGACGACGGTGGCAATAGTGATGGTGGTGGCGGTGATGGTGGTAGAGGTGGTGGTAGAGGTAGTGGTGGGGCGGTTTCAAACACTATTTTTTTTTAAAATACTTATGAGAATAATTTCTTTAAGTACTTTTAAAAAATCACTCCAAACACACCTTAGGGGCTTATTTTTCCTATTAAATTTAGAGTGTTAATATTAGTCGTTAAATTAACTTTAAAATAAAATTTAAAACAATCTGAACCGCGAAAAGTAAAAGTCATTTTGTTTATCTTTTGAAATTTTAATTATAAATTACTTTATTATATAGATGAATCCACGTTGGTATAATGAATTATACATTAATATTAAAATGAATTAACATAAACCACAAAAGTTGTAAAATTTAGATGGTACAAAAATTTCTTTTGGGATACCTTGTCTTGTCCGATCATCTTTGTGTTGTCCAGAGGGTGATCTCTTGATTTTGTTGACCAAAAAATTACTTCTTGATCAAGTGGTTGACTTGCTCACGGGTTGATTTTTTAGGAGTATAAGAATAATTTGTTATTGAGAGTACTATATAGACCTCACCTATCCAAAAAAACAGCTTGGTGAACTTACAAATGAGGTCCTGTTCAAAAAAAAAAAAACTTGCAAATGAGGTCACAAAAAAAAAAAAAAATTACAAATGCGGCANTCCTATATAGACCTCACCTATCCAAAAAAACAGCTTGGTGAACTTACAAATGAGGTCCTGTTCAAAAAAAAAAAACTTGCAAATGAGGTCACAAAAAAAAAAAAATTACAAATGCGGCAGTTAATAAAAAAAAATTATTATAATTATAATTTTTCCCCTCCAGCTATGCCCCTTGTTGCAATCAACTCCCTATAATTTCAAATGTTGCCATCTGCCTCCTATTTCAAGTGGACTAACTTGATGGGCAATAGTGGTGGGCAATAGTGGTTGAAATATGAAAGTATCATTACATCTTTCATCTTGTACATTATTTTCCATTATATTTCTTTTGAGATACCAATTATGCCCATAAAATAATGAAAAAGTCAAAACAAAAATACATTCGTTCAGTCCAACACGAGCATACTACACAATAATAAGTTTGCCTTCAACTTCACTACCACCTCCACCTCCACCTCCACCCAACACCAACTTGTAGGCGTGCGCACGGTCATACACACTAACTTTTCCAAATATAATCATGTATTTTTAATAAAATAGAGATTACGTTAATTTTTCATATCTAACTTTTGTCATTTTTTATGATCTAAACTTAATTATTGGAGTTAGTTACAAAATATTCAAACTTAAAAAGATACTATTTGTTGAAATTAAAACTTAAAATAGTGAATGACAAACTACCTGAAATTGAAGAGGACATTTTGTAACTAACCAAAAAAGGATAACTTACAAATAAGGCGGTTAAAAAAAAACTTACAGATGAGGGTAATTTTACCATATAAAAAAAATTCAATATTATACCAAAAATTATTATTTTTTAAGGTCAAGTTACATCTTTTAAAAGTAAAGTGCAATTACTTGAAAGAATTCATGATCGATTAATTAAATATTTTGATCGTTCACAAATAACTCTAATCAGTCGTAATTTCACCTTTAAAAAAATAACTTATCATTTAAAAAGTATAAATTTATCTTTAAAAATTATAATTTCTATAATCGATTTTAATATTTTATGATTGATCATGTCTTTTGTAATTATAAATTATATCTCAAAAATTATAATTTGATTTAAAGAATAATAAATTTAAATACTCATTTTGTAGTCTTCCTCTATTATTTGGGGAAAAAATGGGTACTGTACCGAAAGTTACAACTGTTTCTGCTGAAGTTATGTATTTGAAAAGAGAAGTAGGGTTACACCCAAGAAGTTTATGTTTTTTAAAAAAATATGCATGTCGGATGTTTCCAAGAAGACTCAATGTTTAAATGCTCTATGTAATTAATAATTAACAAAATAAAGAGGATGAAAACAATACATATAAATCTACCTAGTCTAATCTCTTACCTACCGCATGTGAATAAATTTTGAACATGAACTACACAAACATCCATAACAAACATAAAATTGTTTCAAACAAATTCACAACGATCACCAAATGTATAAAGAGATCTTAGGTAGCGCAAAAAGAGAAAGAGAGGTCGTCTCAGCAGTTTACACACTACGTTTAAATACCTTGCACTACTCTTAAACACCTAAGTACCTTATACACTATTGTTGGGCCTTTTTTCAACTCATATGAAAAAATAAATAATCACTTGCTTTTCGGTGTAGAAGAACACCTATGACAAATTACCATGCTTCTTGNATATGTGTGACACTAAGTTGACCTGTTCATTATTTGTGGAACCAATCTGGTGTAGTGTTCTTTGTCATTTTAGTTAAATTATTTGCACAGCCTGGGTCAATACCTCCTTGGTGTTTTTTTTTTTTGTTTAAATACACATTACATTATAGAAACAACTTGGGGCAGATCCATAAATTATTCATAGTAGGGGCAACCTAGAACTATTTCAATATTATTTTTTTTAAAAAAATACCCATAATTAATTTAAAATCAATATGTTTGGTTTGACTCAAACTTCATATTTTTTTTTCTTTTTGAGCACAAACTCAATAATTTATCATTGAGTTTTTGACAAACAACTTATTAGGACTAGAAGTATTCATTTAATAGACAAACTTAATAAAAATAATTTAGAAAAAAAATATATTTACCACAACTTTATTAAAACTTAGATATAAGAATACTTTGATNACAAACTTAATAAAAATAATTTAGAAAAAAAATATATTTACCACAACTTTATTAAAACTTAGATATAAGAATACTTTGATTGATCACATACAAATTATTAAAATCTAATTGTTCAAATAATTTAATTAAAAAAATAATTCATAATAGACATATTACAATATTTAGAACAATTAAATTAAAAGAAATACTTGAAATAATTTGAATCTTAATTTATAATTCCTGCATTCTAATTTCAATTTCTAATATTATGATTTTTAAGTTCAAACCCCAGTTTATTACCATTTCAAATATCAAGATCCAATTTCGATTCAGTTTAACAAAAATAATAGAGGAGAGGAGACAGAAAGAAGATAGAAAAATAGAGCACTGACCAAGAAATCCAAGTTAAGGAGAATTATCGATTAAGAATCTCTAAATCTCATTTCAACAATAACTGACCAAACATAGTCTTATTTTGTTACTCTTGATTCTATCAACTAGCAGGCGGATGAGCTAAACCCTGCTAAAGGTCAAAAGATATAATAGATAATTATTTATATTGTAATAGTGATTTACTGATGTTTATGAAAAACCCTCATTGTAACATTTTTAATTTAAGTCTTATGTAGAAAGTATAAGTCTAATTTTTTTTATTATGAAAGAATATCACTTATCTAAAATATTACTAGCAATAATACCATATGTATTTAATTTAAAACTTATTTTAAAATTCTAATCCGTTGTTGTCATTAGATTAACACGTATTGGATCCTATTAAATATTGGGATCCCCTTCAAACTACTGAAAGACTAGAAACGAGGGAATTCAGGAGTAATAAAGGAATCAAAGCTTTTTGCCTCTTGAGTCGTGCTGTTTTTTAAATAATACTCATCAGAGCATCTTCAATCCTGATTAATCAAGTTTTAGTCTGCTTTAATTTTATGAATTTGAAAAAAAGGTTGGAGCTTATTTTGAGCGCATTTTTACTCGAATTTCAATTTGGATCAAGATTGGAGATGTTCTTAAAGGTGAAAGAAAAAATAATAAAGAATAATTATAATTTTTTGATATGGTACAACCGACAGTACCGTAATCTTTCCTCTTATTCTTGGATGCAATCAGTTGCAACGACATTCAAACTTGTAATCTTAAAGTTTAAGAATGTAAGTCAACCGATAACATGGAAGAAATAATGTAACATAGGAATGTTGCACGTAGACTTGAACAAAAAGAAAAAAAAAAGTCTAGTAGATATCAATGCCTATAAATAAAGAACTCTTCCTCCCACTCTATCATGAGCAACAACTTCTTGTTTTTTTTTTGTCTTTCTCAAAGAACATCCCATTGGAGGACTAAACAGCTTATCAAGTAAGTTCTTCAATTCCCATTTCTAAGGATTAATAAGATATACAAGATTATTGTTTTTTTATATTTGCTTGCAAAGGCCACTAGTAATACATTTTATGTTACATTTTCTTTTAGACTTCTCTTCTCCTTATGCTTGCTTTTATATATGGTATAGATGCATAATTTAACGGTGATAAGATATAACTATTCATTGATATATTGATCTACTATATCAAAATAGAAAAAAAAAAAAAAAGGTTAAGGAGACATTCTTTATGAAACTAACCCATTTGCAGCATTACTCTAAAACTTGCAATAGCAAGGAAAACTAAGGCTATGTTTAGTCTCTGTCTCAAAAAATAATATTCGAAAAATATTTTTGGGAAGATTTTTAAAAAATTATATTTTGATATTTTTTATGTCACAGAACTTGTTTGGTTATATGATTCCAAAAACAGTTCTACATAATAGAAAACAGTAAAACTTGTTTAGTTATATGATTCCAAAAACAGTTCTACATAATAGAAAACAGTAAAACTTGTTTGGACAATAACATAGAAAACAATGAAAATAAAAATATGGTGGTGGTGGACTTAGAGTTGATGGTGGTGGTGGTGGAAGTGTGGTGGTGTTTTTTAAATTCTAAAAATGTTGTTTTAAAAAAACACACAAAATAGTCTTAACTTGTTCTCTAAATCTACCACTAAAGAATAGAAAAGAAGGAAATTGAGGTAACAATTTTATTCTCCCTTTTGTTTGTGAAGGGAAAATGAATGCACGGAATTTGTCCATTTTGTAAGACAAACATAAGCATAACGGTAAAACAAACACAAGAGGTTCTAACTTTTGTTGCCTTTAAATTTTTCTAGCTTCAAATGTAATTTTAGAATCGTATGGTTTTCCATTCAATCCTCTTTCTTTTCCATTGGTAGGTTAGAAATGAGAAATTTTGACAACTATATCACTAGGAGTTTTGCATAACAGTTTTAAAATTGAGTATTTTCACTAGTCTACCTTTCAACTTTGAAGAGTTTTGACATTCTTGTTTTTAAAGAAAGGTTAGGAGAAAAAGAAAGAGAAATAGAAAAAGAAAAACAATAAGTCACATCGTTGGAGGGACAAAATAAAACAATTTTTTGTCAAATTATAACAGACGTTAGTTATTGGGGCAAAGTGAAAAAAATATAATTGCATAGTTGAATGTGTAATGTGAAAAACATAATAGTGTTGGGGTAATTGCTCCAAACACAAATGTTAGTTATCTTTTTAGACAAAAATTGTCAACATATCAAGACAAACTTAAAAAAGTCACATTGTTTTTGCGACAACATAAAATAATTTTGCATCCAATTTGTAACAAATGTTAGTTATTATGGGATAGTAAAAATAACCACAGTAGTTGAAGACGTAATATGAAAAATATAATAATTAAGGGGATAATATGAAAAGAGAGTCATAGTTGAGGCGGTCAAAGTGTGATTTACCCAAATTTGACAAAAATTTACATTATTTGTTCAATTCCATCCCCGATCTTCAAATTTCATACCATTAAAATCTGGTTACATTTTCATACTTCTATGTTTTTTGGTAAGTATAGTTTTTATTTCTCACTTTGTGTTCGTAAATGAGAAGCAGGGTATCTTTCGACAAATTCTTTGGTATCTGTTTGTCGGGCCTTTGTTATTTTCTAAGGGATATAGCAAATGGGCCGCCAATTGTTTATTACCATCAACAATGAGCTTGCTTCTTTGTCGTCCTCACCCTTTGAGCCCTACATATTTATAGTGGATGGCCTACTACGCAGGGAAAATGAGAAAGCTTATGAACCAGAAATACTTTCTATTGGCCTGTATCACCGTGGAAAAGCTAACCTGCAAATGATGGAACAACATAAACTACGGTACTTACAAGTGTTGTTTAACCGAAGAGATGGGTTGAGTGTGGATAGTTTTATTAATGCCATGCAAGATTTGGAAGAAAAAACATGGAAATGTTATGCAGAGAGCCATGGACTTGGGAAGGATGAGTTTGTGCGAATGATGCTTCTTGATGGGTGCTTTATAATCGAGTTCTTTTGCAAGCTTATATGTGGAGACTATATGAATGACCTGATTTTTAAATCTCAACGGTTCCATAATATTATACTTCGAGATTTACTAATATTTAAAAATCAACTCCCATTTTTTGTTCTCGCTCGCTTACTTGACCAAGATTTATTAGATATCAATATTGATCTCATTTTTCGAACAGTACCCTTCATCTTCTCACATTTTTTTCCCGAAGTTCAAGGAATTCAGAAGCATCCGATGTTCCAAGGCAGAATGTCAAACATCTACTAGGCTTGGTACATGATACTTGGTGTTCCAAATTTAAAGCGATCGTGTCTTCACGTCAGAATGATGGAGACCAAGGAAGAATATGGGAATACATAAAATGCACCACAGAGCTTCGAGAGGCCAGGATTAAATTCGAAAAGGCTACAGAAAGTTCCTCGTTGCTGGATATAAACTTCAAAAATGGAATCATGAAAATCCCATCTTTGAGTATTTCTGATAGTACTGAGGTCATCTTTAGAAATTTGGTTGCATATGAGCAACATAATGATAAAAATGAACCAACTTATGTGACCGATTATAGGAAATTTTTAGATTGCCTCGTCATTTCTCCCAAGGATGCCGAAAAACTTCGTCACTATGGAATCATTGACAATTGGCTTGGTAATGATGAAGCCATTTCAATCATGTTGAACAAATTGGGCAATAATGTCATGTTAGATTCTACTACTTTCTACTACTCAAAAATTTTTAACAAAGTTAACGAGCATTGTAAACGTCGTCGACACATATGGATGGCCAAATTAAAGCATAATTATTTCAACAGCCCATGGTCTATCATTTCACTTTTTGGTGTTACTCAATTGCTTCTGTTGACTATGTTACAAATTATATTCTCTGGTTTAAATGTCTGATTTGAAGTTTAATTTGATTTATGTGTCTCCTTAAGCAAAAACATTATATTTCAATTAAGTTGTACTGAGTATTTGGTCAACCAGTTGTTTCATAAATGTATTGTAAGAATTTCTAGAATGTGAAAAAGTGTGGTTGTAAGAACCTTCTAGTTTGAACTCTGTGGGGTTGTAAACGTTTTGGAGGTCACTTAAAATCGTTAGCAGCACAGCTTCTGGTATAAGCAAAAAAGTGTTTGTATTATTAGGTGACTATTGAGTGGCTCTTGTATGTATCTTCTTGTGGGTCCATTATATCGGGTGACTAGTATGTATTGGGTGACTATTTGTAGGGAGTGCAAATGAATCAAACTGAACAAATAGACTATTGAAACTCAATTTGTTTGTATGAGAATAATGTTTAAACTCGGTTTGGCTCAAGTCATTTGATAAGCAAACTTTGCTTAAACTTTTATAAGAGGGTATAAAAATGATAGTTTACATTTCAACTCATATGTCTATCTTTCCTTTCACTGTTTCGCCCTATTTATAGATGATACATTTGAATAAGGTGAAAAGAAGATCAATTCATCTACTTTTTAAATTTGTTCGCCCAAGAATAGTGTTTAAACTCGGCTTGGCTCAGGCCATTTCATAAACAAACTTTGCTTAAGTTTTTATCAAAGGGTATAAAAGTATTAGTCTACATTTTAACACATGTCTATCTTTCCTTTCACTTTTTCGTCATATTTAGAAATGACAAATTTGAATATGGTGAAAAGAAGACTAATTCATCTACTTTTCATTTCTTCCACTTTTTTATCCTAAACACCACTTATACATGTGGCTGTAATATTAAATAGATTTACAAATTGAAATTGCTTTTTAGCGTCTACCTCCCTTTCATCCAACTCCCATCGACCACCCTGCCTTCGTTTCTTCAACCACCAAGATTATATTAATGAGGACAAAACTATGCTTTGACCCCCTTAACTATGGACTCAATTTCACTTTCTGGCTTGAACTATAGAATTTTTCATATTAGCCCCTCAACTAATTGAATAATTTTACATTACCTAGAACGTAGATGTCTGATATCTTTTTGGACAAAAATTGCAAACATATCGGGGCAAAGTGAAACAAAAAATTACATATGTTTGAGGGAAAAATGAAAAAATTATCTATCAATGTTTTAACGAAAGTTAATAATTAGGATGATGTGAAAGTAATCACATAGTTGAGGGTGCAATTGAAAAATATGAGAATTGAAGGGACAATGTATTGAGACAAACAAAGCTTTTATTTTATTTGTTATTTTTATTTTAATAAAAAATAATAAACAATTAGAAAGAATCGAAATATCTAACAAGAATATAATATTTCACTAGTTAATAAAGTGTTTAAACTCTTCTATGTATTACTCATATAAAAAAAAAAAAAAAAAAAAAAAAGACTTAGGACAGGAAGACTTGAACACAACATTTTTCCACCACTGTGTGATGAATATAATTTTTTTGTGGAGCTGGTATAAATAATACATGAAATGGTAGAAAGTAGCTATTTTTCGATACTACATTAAAGCTACCATAATATCCACCGGTAATTAACATGAAACATAGAGGTAATAGGGCAGAGTTAGAACTTTACTTTTTGGGAGGGCAAAATATGACTAAATACATTCACATGCTAATACATAAATCTAGGTGAGATCATACATCGTCTTGTTGAGAAATTAATTATTTAAAATAACAAAAATGTTTTAAGATAATGACATTTTGCCTTATTCATGTTTTGCTAAATTATAGACCACTAATTTATTAAAAATTTTGTTGTTGAAAAATGGTAGACAATATTTTTGGTAAATATACATGTAGGTCAAGAAATTTTATATTTGTTTTATTAAATTAAAAAACAAAATAATTTGTTTTAGGGGGCCAGTGGACCACTAATTTGCTGAAAATAAAAAGGACTAGAATCACTACACAAGTTTTCATAATATTAGTGGGACCAATGCAATAAATTAAACGAGAATATAATTTTTTAAGAGTACACATAGAAAGGTGATCAAAAAATTAGGGGGGCAAGTGCCCACCCTTGCCCTAATGTGGCTCCGCCACTTGCCCTAGATGAAATTATAAATTGACGCCGTAATCGAATTTAGTAATTAAGTTTTTATATTCAAGTTTTGGATAAAATTAAATAGTTTAAGTAGTATAGTGCTAATTTAACCATGAGTTAAAAGTTGTTCCCACTACAAAAAAAAAAGTCCTAGCTCCGCTCTTGACGCCCACAACAACGACACACCACAACCCACAATCTCTCAAAATCATCGCAATTTTGTTGTCGCTGGTTGTGATCAAGTAGGATGACCCACAAACAGCACTGGTGCTGGTGTTTTAGGTGGTTGCAAGCGAGCAGCTTGAGAAAGATGAAATGTGATTGAAAGTCTGCATTTGAGTGTAATGGAAGGGCAAGAGCTTGGGCATTTGGGCATAGAGTTATGTTTATCCAAGTTTGGCATTACTTTTGTTTGGTTGAATTAGATTTTTTTTTTTTCAAATAGCACTTAAAGAACTATGAGGATAATATTGTATTTCTAGAATATTAATCGTTTGTGTCATCATATCATTAGCGGCTTCCTAACGGAGCCATAAAGGCTGGGGGAATGTCGTACCAACAACCAAAAAAGAAGGGAACATAGTGTTATTATCATCATAGAACATTTAGAAATTCACCAAGAACTCCTCTTTCATAGTATTCCACAATAATTGTTGCCACAAAAATCATCTTGACTTTCACCCATGGAAGATACTTGGCTTGTGAGTTTTGGACATTGTTATTCTTGGTTTCACTTTTATTAAAGAGAACTCAACAAGACGTGACATAGATTATGCGAAATGTATTTACCATCTACTACAAAGTAACAATGAATCCTTGTTACATTGTCAAATAAAATTCTATACCGAAAATATCAATCAGCGTAGAAGACATAGTGGATGAGCAAAGAACGAAAGGCGGAACCAGTAAGTAGTTGAATTTATTTGCACATCTGCTTTGATTGTTATGGTCTCATTATTTATAAGGTGTAGTTCATTTAGCTCAGTATACAGGACACAATTCAGACTCTGTTTTGAGCTTAAGCTAGCTAGAAGCCTTCTGACTTGACTCCAAAACTATCATATGATACTCCATCTCACTTTAACGTACGTTAATTTTTTGATCCCTTATTGACGAATTATTGTTGTTGTGATGAAAGTTCTCCTATGTAATTATATTCGAGAACAATGTTGAAATTAAATTAATCGGTGTTATAGTATCTACAAAAGATAATAACACCACCTATAGCTTTGCTATGACAACAATTTTGTGTGTTTTTTTGGTAAGTAAGATCAATTCCTTAAAAATTGGAAATGGGATCACGTACACAATTGTATCCAAAGGAATGGTTGATTTTCTAAAACAAGAAAATAGAAGATCCTCCATCCCCATAGTAAAAAAATACATTGTAATTTCACATTCCAAAAGGATCAAAAAGAAAATGTCAAGATCAATCATATCTAGGCTACAAAACTTGAACAGAAAAATGAAGCACCATCCCTCATTGGAGTAGCAACATCAATATCATTACAAAACCATAAGCATCAAGCAATAGCAAAACTCATCACCAACAACTCAGCCACAAAAAATAGAGTACTCTGCACAAAAACAGTAGTAATAGTCCAACAGCACCATCATGCACCCAAACCTAGCACAAACAGCAGCAACAAAATCAACCTAACAGTCGCCGACCAGTACCAGGAACAAGAAAACCCTCAAGGAGGATAAAAAATATCCACTGGCAAGACCCATTGTATTTGCAACCAAAGATTAAGAACAATTTTTTTGTAACTCCTACTCAAGTGAAGATTAAATTTAATGCAATCCACCACATTGTTAGAAATAGTCACCAAATCTTTGTAGTCATTCTTGAAAATCTTAGCATTTCTTCCTCTCCAAATCACATAAACCATAGTTGCAAGGATAAGCCTGCTATAGATTCCCAAGTACCTTCCCCTTAGCATTAATAGCAAAACTAATTAACCAAATTCCTCCACTCCAAGCTAGGCCATTGGACATTGTGTTTGCTTTGCAAAAATAACGAAATTCTCTTTGTAAAAGAACAAGCAAAAAAAAGATGGGCATGAGTAAGGGTGTCAAACTTGTCTGTTAAACGGTTACATGTCGGATTAAATGAGTGAAAAACATGTAAATTCGTACACGACACATTTAAGAAACCAGTGAAAAATTCAAACACGAACACGAACTGTTTAATAAACGGGTAATTCGACACGACTTGTTTAACACGTCTAATTTTAAACGAGTCGGGTTAACACGGTAAACCACTCGTTTGANTATGTAATTATATTCGAGAACAATGTTGAAATTAAATTAATCGGTGTTATAGTATCTACAAAAGATAATAACACCACCTATCGCTTTGCTATGACAACAATTTTGTGTGTTTTTTTGGTAAGTAAGATCAATTCCTTAAAANAACAACGAGCAAATTCAACAATCAAATTCTCATGTCCTACACAAATTAAAATGAAATATTATATAACATTAATAATTAAATAGACTCATAACTAGATAAGTATTAAAAACTTGGCATTACCTCTCTTTAGTCATGATTAATTATAGAATTAGAATATTGAGCAAGTATAGCTTTATTAGATTTTATTTTTTGATTGAAAACATTATCATCTATTTTCCCTTCTGAATCATCACCANATAGAGTACTCTGCACAAAAACAGTAGTAATAGTCCAACAGCACCATCATGCACCCAAACCTAGCACAAACAGCAGCAACAAAATCAACCTAACAGTCGCCGACCAGTACCAGGAACAAGAAAACCCNCGGAATCATCACCAGAATCATCTATAACTAAGCACAGCAAAACATAAATGAATCAATGATCACATGAATTAATATAATAAGAAAAANCTGAATCATCACCAGAATCATCTACAACTGAGCACAGCA